TAGTGCTCTAACGGCTGACATAATCCCCACGAAACTGGACCCCGCGATCGTAGTCGCATGAATTCATGGCAGTTTCGCGCCAGAACCCACGCTTTGCGCCAGAATCCATGCGAAATACGATCGCGGGGTCCAGTTTCGAGGGGGACATCTCAGCCGTTAGAGCACTATCTGAGCTGCCGGTTGGGCAGCGGCTTAGTTAGAGCCTCAAAACTATCCACGTGAGATCCCCATTGTCCAGACTTGCCTGGACGCTGCCTTTAGAGGCAGTGTCCCGGCAGATTCGCGCACTGGGGGATATTGCTATGTTGGGTTCCTTTGTTATCCCACTGTCCTCCAAGCGCAGTCCGGGTGATTGATGTCCCCTTGGGCTGAGAAAGTAGCCCTTGAACCGGCGCGCGCTCGGACGAACCCCAATCAGTGCGCGCTCGGACGACTTCGCTCACCGTTCGGTGCGGGACCCCACGACCGATCTCCCGCATAGTGCATACCATCCAAAGCAAAAATTACAGGCAGCAGGATCTTCATGCCAGGGCCTCCTAACTTTCCATTGAAATTCTCGTCCGAGCTACTTTTTGGAAATTGGGTAAAAGCCCCGGAAATGGTCTTTTCACCCGTTTCAAAGCTCAAATTCGGGTCAACGTGTTATAAAGGCCCGAAGCCTGCAAAAAGAAGAAATGCAAAATCTGCCGGGACTGCCTTTAAAGGCACCGTCTACCCAAAATCTCGAATTCAATGTTTTTGTCGCCTTCAGGTGAAATCCCTGATTCCGAATATGGAGCCGAAAATCCGCGAGACCCCAAAAAATCCCTGTTTCGAGAACCCTCTGCAACAAGCGCAGGCGAGATAAAGCATGCAAGTGGCTCGCTCCAGAAGCAGTCTTTTGCGGCGAAGTTTGGAGGTTTGTCTAGTATGGGGGCCCACACTAGTATGCCATCATAATCTCGCCAACCTCCATTTTGGGTGGACGGTGCCTTTAAAGGCAGTGTCCAAGCAAAAAGTCGATTTTGAGATTTTGTGCTTACCCGGGGTTATTCGCCACGCTGAATCCGATTAACCACAATGGAGAGCGCGAAAACGCCAAAAAAGGCCTTAACGCAGGAGGGAAATCGCAGGTGGGCGGGGCCGTTCACACCGTGACGTCACTCTCCCAGGCTTTGGGAGCGATCTTCTCGGTTCCGATTTTATGTCATGCGTTTCGCAGTTGGCTGATGGTGATGTTAGGATGCTTAGCGGAATCGAGAAGGTCGCTCTTGAAGCTGGGAGAGTGATGCCACTATGTGGACAGCCCCGCCCACCTGCAATTTCCCTCCTCCGGTAGAGCCTTTTTTCGCCGTTTTCGCGCTCCCCAGTGTTGATTTTCGGATTCAACATAGCGAATAGGCCCAGGTAAGCACGAAATTTCGAAATCGACTTTTTGCTTGGACACTGCCTTTAACTAAGGCACTGCAAGAAATGCAAAATCTGCCGCGACACTACCTTTAACTAAGGCAGTGCAAAGCGGAAGCGCAAAAGACTCAATCACGGCTGAAAATCAGTCCAAGCTCTCCGCTCCTGCGCCGTGACCGCAGCTCGCGAATGACCTAGGATGGGTCCGAGCGCGAACGTAGTGTTAGGTACTCTGACATTCGGTCCGTGCGGCGCGCGCGTGCTCCCCGTGCGGCGCCTTGTAGTGCGAGGGGGCCGAACGCTCCGTGCGCTGGGGCCGCACGGTATCGAAAGCGCTCCGTCCGCAAGCTACCAGAGAATAAGTCTTTCATAGAGCTTCTTTTTCTTCTTTCGTCGTGCCGTGAGTATTCTCAACTTCACATTCCAAAAAATTCCGGATTTGAAAAATTCGAAAAATTGAATTTGAATTCTAGAATTCAAAAATTCAAATTTAGCACCCATTCGGGACGCTGTCGAGGGATATGCTCCGTAGAAGCAAAAAACCTCTTTTGCCTCCGATAGACTACGGCAAAACCTATGTTTTGCCCTTTCGCAACACAAGCGGAACAGGGGTGAAGGTTCATTCGTCAGCTATGAACATAATATTGGGAACGCTCCCAGCACAAATTATCCACTGATACAACTGAACAACAAACGCCCTGTAGGCTAATGATCAATGAGATTATGGAAGGAGAGTAAGGGAGCGGGAAAACCTAAACAATGATGTTGCCCTTGCTGACGGGACTGTATAACACGTAACAAGGAACAATGTCAATCAATATCTCCGAAACAACCTCCTAATTTACCGGTACATCCAGAACACCAAATCCAAGAAGCAAATGACTCAAACACCCTGGAACGACTGACATCAAAACTAGACGGCAGAACCTAGTGTTACATATGCGTTGCTATGCTCTCAACTGCACAAACGATATGAGACGTATCTTTCTTCTTGTGGTCGTGCTTGTTCTACGTTGTAACGCGAATCCACACAGCACACTTGGCCCATTTCCTCTCGACCATTGCCATGCCTTGCCTCGCCCTTCCAAAATTCCTGCAAGAACCTAAATGCACCCTTAGGCGCGCTTCTGTATCTGTCAGCAGCCCCGTCGGGTGAGTGGGTGGGTCCTAAGCTGACGAAAGACCGGAATGGTCAAAACAGTGCCAAGCACGCGCCTCACAAAAGCTCCGCCCCGCGTGCTTGGCACACAGCCAGCGTGTTGCGAAATTGCAAAACTCCACTTATGTTCCTGCGATTACTCAAATGCCAAGAAATGGTAAGTCAGCTTCACAAGTGATGGAGCAGCCTAATACAGCGTCGTACTTCACGCGGGTACCCATTACGCTTATAGCGTGTGAGAATTGGAGGCGCGCGGGCGGCACGGTGAGAACATAGTGCGCGCGGGTCGTACGCTAAGGATTCAAGGCGCGCGGGCCGCACGGTACGTGACCCCGCCCGTAATTCTAGGCGCGTGGGCCACACTGCTCGCCATTAACAAGCGTGCGCCGCACGGAGCGAATGTCAGAGTAGGTGCCAGAGTAAGCGAATATTTTGTTCAGGTTGAGGTCCTTCGCAGAATGGACGTCACTCACCATGCTGGCGTCAATCCAAGTGACGTCAATTCTGCGCGGGACCCCAACCTGAACAAAATATTCGCTTACTCTGGCACCTACCTTAGTGTGAGCGGAGTCATCTTCGGGTGACGGTCACAGCGCGGGCGCGGAAGGTTTGAGAACGGATTTCTCAGCCGTGAATGAATCGTTTGCGCTGCCGCTTGGGCAGTGCCTTAGTTAGGAACCCGTCATCAGTTTCCAGGCCAAAACCCATGTGCCCAAATCTCCTAGACGCTGTTCTAAGGGCTTGTGCTCTCACGTTCAAACTCAAATATAAAGGTTTTGAGAAAGGCCCTTTTTTTACACTTTTGCGCCCTCTCGGCTGCATATTTGGAATGCAAGCCGTTTTATCCACTTCATCCACTTCGCTATTGGTCAGATCAGTGAGCACCAGTAGCGAAGTGGATCAAGTGGATCAAGTGGATCAAATGGACATCTGCTCCACTAATGGCCAAACTGATTTGACCAATAGCGAAGAGGATCGAATGGGCCAAGTATGGCGCGTGCCTGTGAACTGCTTTGGCCTACAACTGATTGAAGCAGACTTTGGTGTCATAGTCGTTCGGGATTCAGATGAGATTCTCCGTGCACGGCGACTGTGCTTGGCCGCGACTAGCACGAGAGATGTCGCAAGCATAATGTCTGCGATCGTGCGCGGCGGGTGTTCCCGTTTTATTTCCATACCAGTGCGTCACCTCTGCTTCGCAGAGGTTCGCACTGGCTCTACTATCTATGTGCCTTACTCATTCTCGTAAAATCGTGGCACTGGAACTCACCGCGCTATGCCGACTACCACAAATAAAATGTAAACAACCACTCATTTAGAAAGTCTTTTCACGTGAGATCGGTGATTTCGCGTGGATGAAACTTTTCGCAGGAAGACAGACGCAAATTTGAATAGGTTTTGGATTTGTCATAACTTGGTAGTCGCCGTAAAGGTAATGATAACCGTGAGCTACATCTCTGTGCGAAAATCTTCTCAAACGCTTAGCTAGAACCTTGGAAACTTGACTATTTACACAACCAATTCGTTTTGGCGCCGTTTTCGTTACGTAGTAAACTTTCGACCACTTTTCTGGCTAAACTCCATCGCTTGCACATTTGCTTACCAAACTCATCCACGACTCTGCCAAAAGTGGTGATACGGACCGAATTTTGCGGTACAGAAGCCAGGTGGACCCGTTCGGCGCGCAATTTCTGAGGGATCCACTCAACGAATCTACTCGTGCTTTTGCATGTTGGACTTTCACGAAGGTAGCATGCGCTATACAAAATTTGGGCTTAAAACGCTGGCTGGAACACGCTCCACGAATTTCGTAACAGACACACAAACACACACACAAAGTCACGTAAACATCCTTAGCCCGTTATTATAAGTCATGATCCATTTTATTACTAGTAAGAATAACTTGCTCTCTTCTCGTATTCGCTGAAACAATCATTGCTTTTTAGCGCTGAGGTCGCACAAAACTTTTTGTGGTGTTGAATGGGGTATTTACCAATTTTGTGGCCGTAGCGGAGTACAGAACAGCATAGGCAGCTGCTATCAGTTCTCATCACAATCCATCTGCCACAAACCACGTAGTCCACGTGGGGAGCATCGATGCCAACTCAGTACCGCAATAAATAATACTTTATTTTTTGGCGAAAATCGAACTCCCACTCTCAGCAGCGGTAAAACTGTAAACGCGTGTGCCACTACGGACCAGCGCAGATTTTTAGCTCCAAATCTCGAGTGGTACTCAGTGCTCGTCAGTTGTTTCTCCATGCACTTGCCCATGTTCTTTGTTTTTTTTCCTATGCCATTTTCTTATACTAGAGCTTCTGCTCGATCTGGTTATCCCGTTGTTCTCCTTTCATTTATATAGCAGCCTCAAAAAGGCAAACAGAGCTTGTAATAAGCGCCTGATAACGACCCATCGCCTTATCTGCATTCACTGATATGTAAAGTTTTATTTCAGTGCAGGCATCATATGAATCGCAGCCAAAAATGCCCTCTGTAGCACAAGTAATAGTTTTTACAGTCACCTTCATTAGGTGAGTTTAGACCTTTTTCTCATCAAATGAAAACTTACTTTATCCAGTTATGGCCTTTATCACTCGGCAAGGAAAACACTCAGCGGTGTGAAGTCATCTGTCACAGAAGACTGGCTGGATAATAGTACCCATAATGTAAGTGTCATTTCTTGAAGCTTTTTGCTTGTCGCTTTTGTTTTTTTTCTGTTGTTCATTTATAATCTTTTGCAACCATTCTTATGGTTTTTTTCGATTATTTACTTGATCATTTTGACAAGGCTACAAACAGAAGCGAGGAAGTTTAACCAGTAGAAGTTTTTTGATTGCCTCCGACAAAAGTTTTTTGTAGTAATTTGATTAATTGATGAATGCCAAGCAATTTGTCATTGCGGGCATTATCATAATGATTATGATGTGGCTATTGTCATATGATGTTTACTGTTATGTCCGCTATGCAACAGTGTACAGTCTGCCCCAATCCTAACCAGGCCAAAATGGGCATGGCGGGAGCCCGCGTCGCTAGGGTTTCGCGGTCACGCCTACGGCCTGCTTCTCTGCTCTCTCCTCAATCCTTTTGCTCTCTCTGACAGCGCGCCTATGCAGCGCAGACCGCTAGCGCTGCGAGCGCGCAAATTCACAGCGACTATTGGCCTGATCCCAATTGGAGCAGACTGTATTAGACTTGAATTATGATGAAGATGAATTGGGATGGTACATAAGCATGTACTTTATCGGTGTTTTCTTCGCTAATTGGATGTTTACTGTGCATCGAAACCCTTGCAAAATTTATTTACGAGGTAAATCTTAAAATGGGAAAATATCTGAACGCTGGTTCAATTGCACAAGTTTCTGCTACGAGTTAGTCATCTGCCATCTCTGCAGGGCTCATAATGCAACACAATTTGAGCTGTGAATTGGGTATGAGTTTTTGCAAATCTTGCTGCAAATACCGGTTGCGCGCAAACCGGTTTGATGCTACTGCACTTTCGCGTCTGTGATCTTTGCATCCACATGGTGGAAGAAAATGCAGATTGAATACATATTTACTCTATAGGGACAGAGGAAAAGAACTTGAGCATGTGCAGATTTTTTATTACTTGCTAAATCAATATTTATAATTCCTTATTATTCACTGTCTTCCATGATTATAATGTCATTTTCAGCCACTCTTCGACACGGAAGCCCAAGCACATAACTTTCTTGGTCTCCTTGATGCTATTTTCATGATTGCTTACGCTGGAGTGAGTTCATCGTTTTCCTTGTTAGATTATCTCACTTTTTCCTGAATTTAATGAATTCTAGGGGCTTTTCTTCTGGGGATGGTTGGGCGACCGATCGAATCCAAAATATGTAATAGTCATTGGTATGATAGGATCGGCTATCACGGTTAGTTTTCGCAGAGCGCTTTTTCCATTGTAGTTCAACATTTACAGATGACACTGTTTGGAGCAGTGCCAAAATGGGCTAAACTATACAATGTTCCCTATCTTGTGTTTACCTATACTTTGTTCGGGTTCGTGCAAGCATGTGGTTGGCCGAGCGAAATTGCTATCATGGTACGATATTCTTAGTCTTCGGAGGGTTAAATTATTATTTTGCGGGCAAATTTTTTCGATTCCGAGGAGGGAAATTCCTCCAATTCTTAGAAACGACTTCTAGGCGAACTGGTTTGGCAAAGCCAATCGTGGTTTCATTATGGGCATGTGGGCATCATGCCAGCCTCTCGGTAACGTTTTTGGATCCGAATTTGTCTCTCTAATGGCACCGATGGGATACGAGGTCAGTCTAATCTTAGTAGTCGTTTAGCATCTTCTTTTTTAGCCCCTCAAACTATTTTCTGCAGTATCTAATTTGCAGTTTGCATTCATTTATGGCGCTATTCTCATGGTTGCTGGTGCTGTGATTGTAATGTTATCCATCAGAGTGAAACCCAAAGAATCACACCTAGTCACCGAGGAAAGTATTGGAACAGGAATGTCAGTCACGCTTTCTATACATATTTTGCCGTGGTATAATAATTTCAATCAGGTCACAAATTTCGTCGGTAGTAGAGGAGGAAAGTGGAGAAGCTGTTGGCTTCGTCAGAGCTCTTCTATTGCCCGGAGTGCTTGCAGTGAGTTTTATGCATGTTGTTTTTCTCATACCTCATTTCTCTGTATTGTCAATGAGACATTGATACAAATCTAACAGGAGACTCAGAAACTAAATTTGGAAAGGTTTTCGCAGTCGTTATTCTTTTTAAGTGCACAGAATTGAACAATTCGCAGAGAGTGTGGCAGGGCGCTAGTGACAGTTCAATTATCGAAGGCGTCTACCCATTGCACACAATTTAGCTCATCATGAATGTTAACAAAATTAAGAGGCTCTGACGCAAGGTGATATGTGTTTCACGTGAATGTGATGGGGCAGTTCTCCAACAATGACAGGTTCTTATCGGGACTTTGAAAGAACTAATACCCTTCCTAAATAGATTATGTTTAATTCACAGGTTCGCCGACTACTGCACATCCTTATCTTTGCTCTTTACAATGATTCAGAATTCATGTTGATTCACAGAATTGATTATACAATTTTTCTCATCACGAAGCCTTCGCGGAGCAGTTAATTTAAAATGGTCGAAAGACTTGTTAGAACAAGAGCATTATTCTGGTCTTTTATCCAGCGTTGTCAATACAAATATCCAACACTGATTAAGTTCTGAATTTGAATTGAATTTCAGTACTGTTTATGCAACGTATGCCTCAAGTTTGTCAACTACGCTTTCTTCTTTTGGCTTCCTCTGTACCTCACGGAAGCGTATCACTGGAGCGAATCTAAGGTATGCATAATAATGCTTTTAGCACCTGTAAATGCAGCAATTTTAGGCAGATCAACTCAGCATCTGGTATGATATTGGAGGTATAGTTGGTAGCGTGGCCGGTGGATATATTAGCGTAAGTTACTTGCGGGAAAACGATCTAGAATTCTTGCTAATTAGATTTTTTAGGATCGTATGGGCTGCCGGTCCCCGCTTATCGTAGCTATGCTTGCATCTTCTATAGGAGCCTTATTCATGTATTCAAACGCAGGTTTGAAAATTTTCTCGATTTTTTTTGCAAAGTGAAAGGGAGATTTAGGTCCAGCGCTTTTCTGGAACGCAGTAATCATGACTATAGTGGGTATCACCATTTCTGGTCCATACAATCTCATTGTTGGAACTATATCGATAGACTTAGGATCTCAACCTGCTTTACAAAATAATGCCCAAGTAAGTCAGGCATTATTTTTTGGAATTTTTGGTATTTTTTGGTTCTCTCTTGTGAATAATATGCTCAACACATTCAGAAAGATTGCATCGTGTAACATTCGGTACAAATTTACAGAAAAATTATGTGTTTTTCATAATTTTCGCTATCACAGGCTATGGCCACTGTCTCTGGTTTGTTAGACGGTACCGGATCCGTTGGAAGTGCCGTTGGTCAGCTAGGCATTCCAGTATTGCAGAATGTTTTTGGATGGCAGTCTGTGTTCTACCTCTTTATGTTCTTGGTTCGTTTATCTTCTTCTAACCTATTTCTTATTTGGTAATATTTTATTCAGAATCTGCTCGCAATCGTCTGCATCTTGCGACGCTGCCTCACCGACCTAAGGTCATTGTTTGAGAAATCTAATGAACTCACTCCTCTTCTCAATGAAGAGAGCAGTGATGAATAGAGTTAACTTGATACCACGGTGATAAGAGTCACTTTTTGACATTTCATTTTCCCCATCGGAAAACGGGCTAAATCTATATCTCAGCGGAAGGATAAGTTTTACCACGGAACTTGCCTACTTTATACGTGTTTCACATAATGCTTGTCTTAACTGCTATGTAATTTGTCATTTAATATTCGCTTTCGTGCTATAACAGCCATGCTGCATTTCAACTCACACACTGGAGTCACTATGTTTTCAGCTTCTGTAGATTGATGCAATTTGAGTTTGGCATAAATTTGTTGAACCTCAGGAAAACAGGTCAGTTTATAGTAAACAGTCAGAAGCAGAAAGTGACAGCTGGAGTGAGAGTCAGTCTTCTAAGTAAGACGACTGATCAAACAACTTTATATAACGTCAGGAATAATCCCGAGACAAATCTCCGAGAAGTATCCTATAAGTAGTAATCGATAGGTCGAAGCTACAGTACTCCATTCTCTGGAATGAGTAGCTAAAGGCATGGGTAGTGAGAGCTGCTACCCACTCATAATTGGTCAAGTATCACCGAAATTACCAAACTCAGCGTCGCATTGCCTTATCTTGGTAAGTAGATGAATTGTGAAGTCAAAGAAACCGCTCGAGTAAGTTTGATGAGGCGCATGTTCTGATATATGGAAGTGCCCGTTCGGAGGGTAGTGTAAGGTAGTCGGTCAGATTTCACGCATATATTCAAATTTTTGCTCGGTAGGTTTCTATGTTCGTTCACTGCACACTGGGTAAACAAAGGCGAAAATCTATGCAATTTAACCGAAATCCTCGTCCAAACGGGTATTTTTGTATATCAGAAGACGCGCCTCGCCGAGCTGAGTCAAACGGTGTCTTTGTATTCAGAATTCTTACAGTATGAACCAAGATATGGCAATACGGCGCGATTTCGGTAGACTCCGGTGGAGGCGTTTCTTGACTAATCATGAGCTGTATTAGGTTGCTGCATAAGTTCTGTCCAATTTTTTTGCCTTATGTTTAAAGCAGCTGTTCTAAGAGAAATTCGTCTCAATGCGGTGCTGTAAGTGTCATTAGAAAGTGCTTTTGCGCTTTCCAGAGCATAGCAAATTTCAATAAATTTCTTAGTGTAAGGAGATCTCAGGCCTAAAATCTCCAAGTGGCCGAGGTACGTTCTCACCCTAGAAATATGCTCTTGCGAGGAAATCTCCATAATGCGCCTTTCAAGTCAAGTTCTTTCATTGGCTGTAAAGGTGTAGAAGGCTAGTATATGCAGAAGTTCAGTTCCATGAAGAAAACGTCTTGCTAGTAAAATTTAATGTCGAGCATTAATTTTTGTATAGATGTTTTACAAGCAATAACTTTCTGCGATTAGATGTAATCGATGAGTTCAAAGTTGGAGATGCTAGGGTAAAACAATAGCTAGCAGGGCCCATCCACCAATTCCTTTTCGACGCTCACGTCAACTGTAGAATTTTCATAATTCGTAAATAGGCATGCACACATGCGCTGAAGCGAGGTCAAAAAGTGGCTTCTTTTTTGCTCGGTCAAAAAATCTCTCGGCAACGTGACCCTATGGATTCTTTTATGTTGCAAAATAATTTACGGAAATTTCTCTGTCTCTCCATTTTTAGATAAGATGCCTATCAATTCTCATAAGGGAGCATTCAATATTGCTTAACTAACACTCATTTCCACCCCTTTACTTCTCACCTCGTACGTAGGCACCCTTAGGATTAGAAAACTGGATTCGTTCTTCGAAGAGAGAATTTGTAATAGAAATTGTCTCCACACCTTGTTTCGGAATCGGTGAAATCGGAAAAAGTCTAAACTACTGAAGGTTTTTGGACAGTTTATGATTAACACGTTTGAGCTGCTAATGCAGAAATTCGACTTTTGTTTCAGATTCATTAGTGGCATCTTTTATACGCAAAACTATAGTAGTATAGATTCACTGCAAATTCCAACTTCGTGTATGAGGTTTCTTGAGTGAAGCTTACTCCGTTGCCGTCTTGGCTCCATATAGCTGGTACGGAATGATATTGAGAGTGGCCACTTTTGTGAACTGTACATTCTTGAATTCAAGAAATATTGATCCTGACTGCTTATCTGTATTCGCTAGGAGATTAGTAGATGTTATTGTTGGTTATACTAACAAAGGAAGCATGTTTAGTCGTAGTAGCATTTTTAGATGAAATATACAACGTAGTGGAGGGCATAAAACGATGATTCCCAATTTGCCTTTCTTCTTTGCGAATGGACCAGGAGACATGAGCGTTTACTGGAGCAAAAGATTACACGTGTAAGTAGGACAAAAATCGCCTTTATAATTTTTCTACTACTTCAATGGAGCTGTGACAATTATCAAGCTCCTTCTTCAGTAAATACTCTTAGATTAAAAAATTCATCATTGGTTGCTTTATTTTAGGGCTAGAAAGACTTCAGGAGACTCATTCTAACGTAGATGCACATTTACTTTTATCTTCAATCTTCAATAAACATTCATAACTCCTCGTCCACAAATGTTCCGCAGATAAGGAAGGCAGATTTGAAAACAGCGTTTTATGCTCTTCAATACGGTACACAACTCATCTAAAAAGATTATCTCGAATAAACATGCGCTCCTTGTAAGTTTAATTGAAACTTCTGTGTCCAACCTTCAAAAAATCGCAATTTCTTCTTGCCACGATATTCTTGTATATTCAAAAATTAGAATTAGTGAATCATTGCTTTTAATGAGATTTTGCTACTCTACTAAGTTCTGATTGTAGTGATCAAAATGAAAAAAGGAGGTCATTTAAAGTGGTTTGAGCCAAGCCCTTCAAGATTCTAAAAACTAATAAAATCCAAAAGAGCTACTGTCATGAGTTTTCTGACTTGCTTTCTCTGAGTGAGCAAATTTGTGATGATCGGACTTTTCTATGAGAAGCTTGAAAAATGGCAAAAATCAATTTTCCGTTTTCTGCTATTCTCTAAGATTAGTACTTTTCGACGAAGAGCTCGATTAGCATAAAGCATACTGCTTAGATGGGAAGAGGAGGTCAGATTATGGCACTGGCTGTTTTAGATTTTGTTGCGCAGTTTTCAGACTTTTAGAAGCCGTGCCTTAAATCACCAAAGTTCAAAAGAACTCTGCCTTTCATTTTTTTCTTTGCAGAGATTAATATAATAGAAAGTAGGCAAGGTGTCACTCGAAAGTGCATGAACTACTCTATTGATAATATCAACGCCAAGAGAATATCGCAGCAGGAAGCAGTCATGAGTTCTTGAAAATGGTGCGACAGGATTTAAATACAATACAAAAAGAGGCTCCCAGCAAATGTCGCTTTGGAATAGCAGATGGTAAATAGAGCATAGATGTGAAATCAATTTATTTTTCTCAGCTCTTGTTTTTTGCGCTTGACGGATGATTATGCTAATTCGAAATCAGTGTTTCATATTAGCTTTTTTAGAGTAACAAGACAACTGTCCCATCTTCTCTAACATCGCGGTAGCGACAAACGAAATCTGCTTAATGATGAAATTCTGCCAATTTACCTACTTTTTCGTTGTAGACTTCTCAAATTGACGAACAAGCTTCGTAACAAAAATTAAGAATATAATTTTCTTTGGGAATCTGGTAAAATCACCGCCATCATACATATGTTTTGCGATATGATTTTTGTTGCATTTATCAGACATAGCGAGATTTTACTTAGACTAAGACAATAGAACATCAGAAGCATTTGCAGAAACATCCGTTTAGTAATTTTCATTGGAAAAGGATAAAATATAAAAGCCAAAAAAGAATTAGTTTTTATTGAGATTTTCAGCATTATTAGTTTCAGATTTGTGTAAAAAGTTGTGTAAGTTGAGTTTTTTCCTTCGGCTTGTATTGAGGCGCTATATTAACAGCGGTTTATGCTTCGAACGTTACTAGAAAGTCTATTTTTTTCTCTTTTCAAAATCATTGTCTCAAATTGATTCCTAGAAAAAAAGATTACAAACTTTCAATTTCTGTACAAGACTTATGGATCAACTCAACTGCTTAGCTTCATTGTGGAGAAGAAAAAACCTTATTTTTTTTGATGTGGACATTCTGAGATGTGCTCGATAAGAAATCACATATTGTTGTTTTCAGAGTGCTTCTACGTCCATGGTTCTCCCCGAAAGTTTCGCCGAAGATGCCGCTATAAGAGATAAGAGTCGCTTTTCTGTCAGAAAACTGTTTTTGTTTGAAAGGGGTCTTGAAGACTGTAATCGCAAAACTTCACTTGACAATGGTGCCGAACTCACAAGAATTGTGAATCTCTGAGATTTTAACACTTGCATGATGTTAATTGAAATATTACTCGAGAGTTCTCTGTGAGAGAATTGTACATTCGTGATACATTTATCCAGCATTGAGGTCTCTATAACATAATAGCATATAAATATGAAACAAACATGATTATTTCTACAAATTCTATCTACCCGTATAATTTATAATGCATTTTGTGAGGAAAACACAAAGAAGGACAATCGGGTCACATGATTAGGGCAAGATATCCAACCTTCTTGCTTAGGGCTGCTTTCAAAGTTGCCCGTGTGCCAGCATCGTGCTAGTGTCGTTACAGCGCTGTCGATCGATACTTGGCGCGACCACGCGGTCGCTGGCACGGCACCAGTATGGCGCTGGTACACTGGCAATTGCTGCCGACTCAACCTTGTTGTACAGCAGTCATTTCCTACCATGCCAATAATCGAATAAGTAGACACACAATGAAATAGCGTGCAACATAAGCAGAACTGGCCGTGAGAAGAGCGTCTTCGCGCCACATTCGCTCACAATCGAACCCGCATCGGGCAGCGGGGGCTTCCCATCGTGCTTCTCCACATGTACAGCGGGACAGATCCCCACAAAAATCATTGCGGAATCGGACCAGCTGAAAAAATCACTTATAAAGTGAATTTCGTATGGATATTGAGTTGTTTCTCCTAAAGTCGCGTCTATACTTGTTCCCTTGTCGGCATTGTGCCAGCGCCGTTCCACTATCGTCTACATGGACTCGCCACGTAAGATCTGTGGACTTCCGCCGACGCAGTTCTGGCACGATGCTGGCACGACGCACTTCCGAAAGCAAATTGAAAATTGCAGAGTGAAAGTAGGTTATTTTGTTTTATCCGACACAGCAGCACAATTCTATCAAACTCCTGAAGCAAAAGGTAACCGTTTTTTTCAGACTTTTTTGAATCATTTTGAAGGAAAGAATAATTCTTGCGTATGGTACATCGGTATTCTGCATGATTACGTTCCGTAAAACTTGTGCTCCAATTAGTGCGCTGCTTTTTATGGTGATTTCAGAAAATTCACTGGATCGAAAATAGTAGATAAATTCTGATAACTTCCAGATTCCGGTTTGTGAATCTAAGACTTCATTGTGATTTTGTGTAGCCATTTTTGCCAGAATAGGTTATTAGCTCCTTTATAAGTCCTTTATAAGGCATTAACTTTGGCCTGATACTTTATAACCATCAAAAGGGGATGGTGTGGCATACCAGCGAGTACACAAATCATCACAATAGGTCCTGCAGACCAAAAATTTCAAATTTAATAAGCTTGTCTAACTATGATCATCATCAAGTATATACTATATGATTAGCAGTGAGATGTGCCGTATTTGGGCAAAAGAGATTTGCTTTTCAGAGTGTCACAAATGAATGATTAAGGCGAATGAATATATACATATTTCATGGAGGAGATACTTACCTTAGCGAGTGCTTTGCGGAAGTTAGCACAGGTCTCTTCATTCCCAAAATCATAACCTTGAGCAATCGTTGAGGCTTCCATGATGTAATCCTGAACAATTTCTGGTCCTATACGTCATTATCTGCAGTAGTCCCTGCAGAATTTGAAAGAAATGCATTTTGTATTTTACAATACGAAAATTGTAGCTTACAAAGTTTCTTTGATTTCTCTCAATTAAGATTGTACAAAGTAAAGGCTTTGTAAACTTTTAATTCAAACTGCTATAGCTTTTGCAGAAATGGACCTTCCAAAATAATAATAACTTCAGCAAACTTTTAAGCCGTGTGAAGCTTTTCTCAGAGTAGCATAGGTACTTCAGAATTTGAAGAATAGGAACAATACATTTTGGAAGTAACTGGATAATTACGGTAGAAAACGAAACCGATGCAGTATGTAAAGAGGTAAAGGTAACTTCTTCTCATTTTCAAAGCACTTAGATCACTGGCTTTTTTTATTTTCTATTCTAAGCTAAAATTTACTGCTACCTGTTCCTGTTGTTGCTCATCTTCGTTCATGCCTCTTCGGCAGATCAACGTCGCATCTCGAGTGCATGTTTGCTCACACATCTGCAACACAGAAATGTAAATGGTTTTAAGTAGATCTCTTAAAAGTTTCAGGCACTCAGATGCCATGTAAAAAATTGTGTAAAAAAAAACAAGATGTTTTGCTTACCTGTCTGCCATATCCTTTGTATGCAAGAAATATATGTAGAGGAAGTTTCTTGCCAAATACCATGTGATACTGTACTGATGCTATCTGAAAAACAAGGCTCAGATGATGGAATAAGTTTGTCAGTTATTCACTATTAGGTTGCTCAAATGACAATTTTATCGTCATTACAAAAATCTCGTAAACATGTGCATGAGTGCTTGATATTGAAAGAATGAAAAAGGAAAAAAGCCAAAATTTTTACTACGATTTTCAAATAATGAGTATAGAGGTCGAACACAACTGTTTCAGGTAAAAAATATGCCTCTACAAAAATTCCTTAACAGAAAGTACTCAACAGCCAGTATGAGAGAGCAGCGGATTGGTAGTAATTCTAGGAAAAAAATTTGATCATGATCTGAATCTAGAATAAAGTTGTTTATGAGGAATAAATGCTAGTTAACGAATGGTTGTTGATTCTAATATGGCACATTTACCACCGTTCAAATCGTACTTTTTTGTAAATTGATAAGTATTTGTAACGTTTACTCTTCGATGTAATATAACACTCGCGCCATTTTTCGACGTAAGAATTCAAAAATTGGCAAAGCCAAAGGGCTGATATCATACTTTGAGATGAAGTTCTCAGTTTTTCTGCAAATAATTGCTTAGATTCCAATATATTGTTAAGATTTTGAGTTATCATAGTTTCAGGAACTTACCGCTGCAGCCACTTGTTCTGAGCAGCCTGGATAGTGAAAGCAAAGGGAGAATCTGCGTACATCATGGCACAACAGCAAATTCGCTGGGTCTAAATCAAAATTAAGTCATTTTTATTTCGTAATTAAAATAAGTGAATCATCCTACCAGTTTTTCGCTTATCGAGTACAGTGACATTGCCAGAGTGAAAGAGAGGAGATGCTCGACGGCCTCGAATCGGAGGATGGATGGCGGCCTGTAACTGAAAGTTCTAGTAAATCAGGGCCCAATTGGATACTAGATAATTCTCAAAACTGCAAAAGCATCATTTTATTGAATAGAAAACAAAACTTTTTGAAGCTTTGACATAAATTTTCGCTCCGTAACCTGAAAAATACTACTCAAATCCCAACATTTAAAAGAGCACTCAAGGAAATTTTCAGCTCGAACACGATAGTAATTTGGGGCTAAAGCTTGACAAAGTGTGCGTGAAAAAAGAGCAATGTGCGCTAGATAGAATTGTGTGGAGAAGTTCTTCAAAAGTCATAAATTTGAACCTTTTGGCCCCAAACCACCCAAGTTCACTCATGTCTCAGGAGAATCCCCTACTTCTTTTTTTTTCGTCAAAAACATGAGCCCTTATAAAAAATGCGCTGGTCAAAGGCACTTACCAAAAAAGCCTCCCGAAAGCAGTTCTCAAGGTCCAACTCGTAGCAGTGCGAGCCTTCCGACTGCGAGTTGAAGAGAAAAGCACAACCAGCTCGAATAATAACGATGAAGGCAGTGAGTGAAAGCATCACGACATATTAACTGGAAATGGCAATCAGTGATTCAGCTCCATACATGGACTCGATATCTACACGAAAACGGCAAATTCGTCGGAAAAATCCAGCAAAGTTATTACAACTAATTTGCAAAAATCAAGACAAATCGAGAGCATTTTATGACATCGAAGCAACGGAACAGTTTATAGGTTCGGACCAGAACATTGATTCAACGTTTTTTTTTGATGTTTTGGAACGTCATTTGAGCAGGATTTGCCAGAAATCAAGGAATGTATATGCTATATTGGAATTTCTGTTCGAAAAGCTGCCGCATTGCAATTTTGTCGTAACAAACACGTCACGACATCGTAAACGATATCATTTTTCGAAATCTTGAAATATATTTTGTAAGTAGATTAGCAATACGTTCTTCATCTTCTAAGAATCAAAATCAAAATATCATTCGAATCTTATATTGCAACTCAGTTTTTCTCGAGTTGGTAGCTCAGTTATAAAAGAATTGATCTGAACAACAAATCTTCTAGAGTTCTTTAAAGTAGTTAAAAAGTCAGACAAGTATGTCTTCATTCTGATGCCAGCGCTTGAACTGGACACGAAGTCGTAAGTTCAAAGGGATCAATTGGCTGAGCTATGAGCAGTAAGGATAAGAAGGTAGCGTTTAGATCAGATTATCACAATCACGAGTTTGATATGATCAAGGCAAAAGCACTTACTTTCTTAAAAGAAAAGTTATCAACTCTATCTTTACAAGCAACAAGAGCTCATGTTTTCTAAAAGATGCCAAACATCTTCTATTTTTCGGTATTTATTTGAGGCATAATCTTCAGAACGCGGCTTTTTCAAACCGTAGACATATGCGGAATTTTTCAAAAACAAGATCAATATCATATTGCGAGAAGATTTGCACAGTGAAACTAATCTGTTTGTAATCTCTCCACCTCACAAACACTCGTGAGGCTGCTCTCTCTAGGAACACCGACTGTACAGAGTTACTCATCACTGTAATACTGGCTGTAAGCAAGAAAGTCATCAGATAGATTAGAATCCTTATTTTTGCGAATAGTAAAAGATTTCATTGGACATGACATGCTAAGTTGGAGGAGGAAAGAAGAATTATTATATGTAGATAACAGCACCAACACTTTCCAGAAAGGTTCATGCAAAAAGCTTGTGCAGAATAAATATATCTTAACTTAGAGGAGTATTGCATTCTTAAAGGTCGGGCATACTTCACGCGATTTCAGTCGCAACGCGATTTGGCAAATCGCCAGAAGTCTTCAGTCCAACTCTAGCAAACTGCACATGCATATTGTGTATAACTTACTTTCGTGGATTAATAAAATGACCTATCTTCTGTGCAAAAAAAAAGTGCTGACAATGAGTTATGGACAGCTGGAATATTGCCAAATCGAGTCGCGACTGAAATTACCAGAAGTATGCTCGGCCCTTTATCTCCCATAGAAATGTTAAAAAACAAAACATGAATAGCTATTGAAAAATCCCGATTACTCTGCGAGCCTTTCAAGATTCTTAAAATCTGATAAACTATAATTTTTCGGTGTACTTTTGAATATGAAAAAGGCACAGGAATTTTTTCGCTTGACGCAGGTTTACTTAGTACACGAAAAATCGATGGTAAAAGATGCTTTAATGAGGGATATGTATCAAATATACAACATGGAACTACGAAACCGCTTCATAGTGGTTACAAGACCGAAAAAGACTGTAGAATAATGCAACCGATACAAAATTAGGAGAAGCAAAGTATACTAATCAATTGGTAATGGAAAGCACATACAGAGAATTAGAATTTTCCAGAAAAAGAATTTGAATCAATAGCTTGTTGCAAGTTTGTAGTGCTTGCAAGAGAACAATGTCAATAAGATCCGAGAATTCCGAAAGAGACACGAAAACATTGTCGCACACCAAGTGGGCCTTGCATACTCGATTAACAGGCCGCAAGCAAGCTCTACAAGGGCTTACTAACTTATTCATCGTGCACTTGCCTACTTTCAGATTTTCTTGAAAATGTTTTCTAATCTTCTACAGCTTCTTCCTGATATTTTGTACGATTTTTGAAGCAAATACTTTGAAAAAAAGCATTGCATTCATAGCAAACCAGTTGGATAAGTTTTTCACCTCTGTCGTTAAAATCCATCATAGGATCGTAAAATCTTTTTTGCTACGGAAAATGTGGGAAAGACATGCAAGTATGGGAAAGATTTGCAACATGAGGAAGACATTACTTCCCTCATTGCAGTAAGTTCAATAAGCGTATCTGAGTTTATTTGTTCTGAGCATAAGTGCTCGCAAAGTTGTCAAAATTAGCCACGCAAGTTCTTAGGTGGAAATTTAGCATTGAAAATGAAATGGATATGACCCTCATGGACTTCAATGTCGATGATGAACCGAGAAAAAAATTACTATATAACCAACGCGACGATACATCTGGTTGTTCGAAATTCTATCTGTAATGATTCGTGATTAAGAAAATGTCTAGATAGCAAATACGAAGGGTCAATTTGTCTAGAATGTTTTGTTTAGGAACGCTAAGAAATACCACTTTATATGATAGAAGAAGAAAACTATAAGCAAGCCGTAAAATTGTGAATTGCGCCTGAAGGTTGAGTACGGTTTTGGTAAACGCCTCTCAAACTTTTTTTGAGGAACGAAAAATATCGGAGTATAAAAGCTTTTGGATCAGGTTGAACCTAACGAATATATAACGGTTATAGTACCCCGTTTTGATTGGCATCAAAATTGTTGGATCTTTTTCTCAAATCAGACCTTTACTTTAATCTCAAATATCCAGATGTTTTGAGCAAAATTTTCACAAATAAAAAATCTCATGGACTTAATCGATATAGAGTTTCAGCAATCTGGATCCCACAATATACGAATACTTCTAAGAAGATTCTAAGTCACCGCTGATGTTTCTCAAATGGCTGCACCATAAGCTGAGAGCAGACAGAAGCCAATTACACTGCATAATGAAAGCATAAGCTGTTGTTAACTTAATCCGTAGTAATTATATCAACAACAATGAAAAAGAGCAGAGATGAGATGAGATAGGATTCCAACCATGCCTTCACGTGAGACCCTAATGTCGGCTAGAAAATGAATTTTAAACTCAAAAAATTTATCGGTAATTTTTGAAAAAGTATTTCAAGAAAAGGCAGTGAACTTTGTTCGGTTCAAATGCACCTAAGATTACTTTTTGGACAAAGTTGCCATTGCTTTTGAATACTTTCCAGATAAAAAGTGATGACTTGATAGACTCCGGATATTCCGGATATGAACGCTGTGTTGCCTAGGACACAACATAGTTCTCATCGGCAAAAGCAGCTTTGTTCACATGTTATTAGAGATGAGAGCGAGACTGAGTGGATTAGCTACTTGTGCCTAAGATCTCCATTTTGAGGGGCTTCGATCAATTTGATAAGAAGTCCATCCATTTATAACGGGGGAAGTAAAGCGATCACATTTTTTACTCAATTTGGGGGCATTAATTTTCTTCAAAGTGATCACATTCATAAAACATCTTATCGTTTTCATTTGCTCCATTTTTCTTCTATACGTGCCCTAAAAAGTTGAAGCAGCAAGGATTCCAAACTTTCAAACATTCTGGTTTTAAACAGTCTACTATCCTTCCTTTTATTTCCGATCCCATGAGGGGAAAAAGTATGGAATAAACATGCGACGCTATGCGTGGTAATGCAATTTATCACTTCTTCATATCCTGGCTCACTCGCCATATGCGATTGTTCAGCGGTATAAAAACATTCAGAAAGCCAAAGAACCAGCTTGCTGAAGAATAAAAAATGAGGTTTTGTAAACAAGGGAGATGGCTATGAGGCTACTAAGTTATAATTTGATGTTGCTTCAAGTTTTTCTGCGTGACATAACGAAAAAAATCAGATTGAAAAAAAAGCAAAGAGCATAGCCAAAAAGTTAACAATTACTTCCAGAGACAAAAAATCTACAATCCTAACAATACCATTCAAAAAAAGGCGCAAAAGCTCAGAAAAAACAAAGATTTACTTGGATAAAAGCCGGAAGTGAAAAAAAGAACTTTTCTACCTTCAAACCAAAGACTTTTCAGCAGCTTTAGATCTATGTAGGGTAAGCAGAGTGGTCTTACTAGAGCGGGAAGATCTTAATTGCAACAATACTTTTGAGATTATTCTCTGAGAAGGAAGTTGAGAAAATTGACCCCTGGGAAGTTCTAGAAAAATTTACAGTCAACTGAGATTTTGTAACAGTGAAGCAAAGAGAATAAAGTTCACACTGTTATCTTCCGCAATAATAACAGAGTATCTGGCATAAAAACATAGGGAAAAGGAGGGAAATCAAAGGATGGAAGTGTTCAATCATGAATCACTGTCAGCTTCCGCCCATCTCTTTCTTTCTGATCGTTGCGAATTGTTTCAGTATCTCAATCACAAATCTCCTCTTCTAGAAGATAATGGTTTTTACAACCTATCAAGTGTGCTTCTGAAAAATCTTTCTGATTGAGATCTTCCGCTCAAAAAAGTTGGTGCTTGTTCTAAATCATTATAATTTTTCCTTGTGGATGAACTTCAATGGAAATTTCATTACGGATGATTTTTAGAAACCAAAAAAGGAAGCTTACGGAGGACAGAAAAAAGTGTGTAGCCTCTCTTTGCTTTCCATGCCAATAGAAAAGGATTAGAACTTTATGCATCACAAAAATATTCACTGTCTCATATGGCATGCCAGATCCAGTATTACAGAAACAGAATGTCGCAGTATTCGCCACCTATTTAGATTAAAAGAGTTGTCAAAGATTAGTAACATTTTGTACTTCACAGCTTGTTTGAATTAGTTTCAAGAAAAGTATAGAGTGAATCCCTTCTCAACTTTTCGTTTGGAGGAGAACGCTTTGTATGTATTTCTGGATAAAATGATTTTTAGAAAAGTTTATGTGTATGGACATGTTGTGAGCGTCTCAATGACATAAATTACATTTATCACAAAGTTCGTGCGACAATTGGAAGGGGTAACCAATGAGATG